TCTCACATCACTTGGGAAGGCGTGCTTGTAATGTGTTGGTGTTAGTGACAGAACAACCACAAAACTCCCACAACCAACCAATATCCCACACTCTACGTCGACCCACTGCTTACTGTTTTTTCTGATGCTAACCTGCGCCAGACTGCCATTTTTGCAGCCCAGAAGATCATGATAACCTTTCCTTTCATCGTCACTATCGCCCCATCTCTTTCACCCTTTTTCTTGTTCTTCTACATCTCTGCTCTGGGCCTTCTCTCTCCCCTCCATTGAAAGTCTTCCAAATTTCCATTACTTTGTCTCTTCCCGGCCCTTCTCTCTTTTTTCTTCCCTTCCCTTTTATTTTTCTCGAAGCGAAGACAATAAGCTTCAATCATGGCGGAGGGTTTCGAGCCCTTTCACGTCCCGCAGCAGAGTAGAAGAGACAAGCTTAGAGTTGTCGCTCAGAACCATCCCACTTGCGAAGAAGCAACAGCATCAGCTACCCTTCACGGGTGCGCAGGTCTGCTCCCTCTTTACGATCCATCTCTTCTTCCATCTGATATGCTAACGTGCGCCAACGCTGGTGCATCTGAGTTTCACCACCACAACGACAACCCACTTGGTGGTGGAGCTGGGGATGGTTGCAAGCAAAACCCAGCTTGCGTTGTCAAGGAAGAAGGAGGGAATTTGATAGGCTACGTTGGGGGGTTTATCAATGCCTGCTCCTCATCGTCTTCGTCTCATCACCCTTATTTGGATCCACAGTCTTCCCTTGCCTTGAACCCGAGTTCCATTCAGGATATCAACACCAATTCATTTCTTTATACCTCACAGAACCTGAGAGATTTTGATCACTCGTTTCATGGTGGCGACGTGGTGGCTTTTAAGCCGGAGACCTTGTCGATGGCCCCTGATTCGACCACCACTGGACAAGGCTTGTCTTTATCTCTATCTTCTCACCATACTCGCCCACAGAATCTTCCTCTAGAATTGAATTTGCCACGCTACGAGCCTGCTATGCTCGGTGATAAGAGTATCGGAGGGTTTATAGTTCGAGGAGTTGGTGGTGCTTCGACGTCCAACGATGTATTGCGGAGTTCAGCCCCTCTCGGCCCGTTTACGGGCTACGCTTCGATTTTGAAGGGATCGAGGTTCTTGAAGCCTGCTCAGCAGCTCTTGGAGGAACTTTGTGGTGTGGGTCGGGGAATTTATGCTGAAAGAAGCTGTGGAGACTCGTCTTTGATGGATCCTTCCGTGGAAAACTTCAGCCCAAGTGAAATTATTGATGATCCACTCAGTAGCGGAGATCGTGGGGAGCATCGCAGGAAGAAGACAAGACTAATATCGATGCTCGATGAGGTATGAGTTTATTTTTTGGCTCCGTCTCTTTGTGATGCCTTGAGTTATTTGGTATTAGCTAGGCCTTAATTATTATAGAGATATGTGGTTTCAGCTTCTCCAATTGGCGATGTTTTTCCTCTCTGATCTCTCTTCTTTTTCTGTCCTTCCAAATTTTGCATTGTGTTACTGTAGAATCAACGGTGTCTAATTTGACTAGTAAATCCTGTATAGAAGATCTAACTATTAATAAAAAGAGGAAAGAGGAAGAAGAAAGAAATTTTTTAAGTCTATATATGTATTGCTTCTTTTGAATCAGTAGTGGGTGGTGTTTTGCAGCTTAACAAATTGGACATAGTGGCATAGATGCTTGTTTGCAAGGTCTATGGTTATTATGGTTATGGGGATCAAAATCTCATCTTTTTGGGAAAGGTGATAGAAAGGAATATATGCACAAAGTTTGGTGCCATAAAGGCTGATGAAAACCTTAGATCTCCAAGTTTGGACTTTGGAATTGTAACGTGCGTAAAGCGGCTCAGGCTCAAGGTATCCATTTGAAAAGATTTATGCTCCAAAGCATCAAAAAGTCTGGAAAGTCTCGTGGGTTTTCATGGTTCATACCAAAATTGTTGGACGCTCTTTCCATGGTCCATGGTTCTTCTCGTGGTCAACTAGGACCCCGGGAGCGGTGATATAGTTACCATGGTACAAGGGTAAAGCTTCTTTCCATGGTCCAAATGGGATTTCTTATTTTTATTATATATGCCCTAACCAAAAGTACTATCATTTACCCATTTTCGTTAGCCTTGTCAAATTAAATAACAAATTTGAGATGTGTTCCATGGCAAGCTCCATAGTTCCTCCTTTTGTATTTATGTCCCCTTGTTGTAGGCGGCAAAACTTGTAACCAATCAACTGGAATCATATAAGTGGTAATCAATCATGTGGGTTTTCATCAAATTAAAATTCACTGGGGGTTAATTTGATGGGTCAAAGTGGCAGGTCATCATGAGTTAAGCTGCTAGGGATGGATGTGGTTTTACAAATATTACAAAGGGTTTGCACCTGGAATGAGAGTTGGCTTGCTTTTGAACGTTTTCCAATGTTTCTGGGTATATATATAATTTCAAATTAGTTACAACAATTGGAAGGAAGGGCCAACTTTTGTTTATTACAACATTGATTGGTCTTGCATTTGGAATATCATTAGGTGGAGGGCAGGCATAATGAGAAACTGATTTGGTATTATTAGAATTGAAGATGATTTGTAGGTCTCCGCAAATGATATTGTTTTGGCAGTGTACACTTCTCTTTTCGCCCATGGAAGAAGTATCTCTGGTGGGCATGGTTTACCCTCTTGACCTTGACTTCATTTCTATATATTTAATCTTGTTACCAGTGTTGTCATTTTGACCTGCAAAGAGGAGAGTTGGCTTTTCTATTTTGATATCAGATACTAAGAGAATAGCATACAAGGGGCAAAGTAGCAGAATTTCCTTGGCATTAAATTTCTAATATTTTTAATCTAGAACAGAAATTTATAGTGATGATTCAACAGTCATGAAGAATCGACATGTCAGATTGTCAGTTCATGCAAATATTGGAACTTATCTTGTCCATGAAAGACTCAGTGGATCACTTCTTTCCAACGTCTTTAAAAAATATGGTGTTTATCTCATTTCTGAGGACTACCATTATCTTAGTTATCAACTAGAGAATCAACTATTGGTGAAGGAGAGACACAAGTCATTTATTTGATATATATCTCCTGATCCAGCTTTTATCTGTCATCTCGATTAAAGCCAAGGAATGTTTTGACATTTTGCTTCATAATTGCCGTCGACAATTAATTTAAGTGAGGGAAATGTAATATGGAACTTCTCAATTTATTAAGTGACAATATATGTGGAGCTCATCAAGTTTTTTGGTAACATGATATATGGTTGGATCTTACAACCACAAGTAGACAATGGTTTTAATATTCCTAAAGTTTGCTTTATCTTACCTTTAGAGAACCATTGGTGATTAATTGTTTTTTGGCTCTTCTGCTTCTTTTCTTTCTGTTTTATGGGGTAGGTGGCTTGGTTTATCCATTCTGAGAATTTTGTCTTTGCTGGTCCTTTTTTATTTTGAATTGAGACTATTATAGTATTATTTATTCCTTTGAAAAATGTATCATATGTAATTTTATGGAACTTTTCAGAATGCTTCTATATTTAAAGGTCTGCTATGGCCTAGGATGAATTCTTGGATATGTTTTGAAAATAAGCTTTGGGATCTTCATAGTGCAGTGGCAAGAACAAGGAATCCAAATGTAGGCTGAGTACCACAAATAAAAATTAGGCCAGCATTCTAGGTCTTGATATGTACTTACTCAACTCAATTTTGTATCAATTGATGATTTTGAATCTTAGGCTCAGTTTGGAAAGAGTACGAATACAAATATGTAGAGTGCAAAACCTTCTATTTTGTATGTATTTTCACTGTACTGTACATATTTGTATTTGTATTCTTTCCAAACTGAACCTTACCCATGTCATGGAGAAGCCCTATCCAACATCACCTAAACAGGTTTTCTTTAATGGGCACTAAGGTTTGAAGGTTGGTCATATCCATAAATTGAAGTTTCTGGCTACATGTAACTACATTACATAAGGCTTTGATGATTCTAAGACAAAGAGAAAAGAGCCCTTATTCAGTAAGCTTCATTTTGTTTTTAATTCTGACCATGTTATTTTTATCACAAAAAAAAAAAAAATCAAATGAGGGAGTCAAGTACCTTCATGGTGTGAATGACACTTCCATGAGGAGTATTGGTCAGATTTTTTGGATGAACTCTGCTATTTTGAGTTGCTTGTGCTTTTTGTTGTGCTAAATTGTTCTATTCATTGCATTTTCGTTCCCGTTAATATCTAACTGTGGGAATGTTGCAAATTACCCACTAGGGATGGTTATGCAGTGACTTAGCATGCAGCTATCTCCTATCTGTTGTTGTGCCTCCTCCCCTTCAATGGTGTGCATGCATGATATGTTCATTAATTTCCCCCATGAAAATAGCCCACTGAAATTGTATTCAATTGTAGGTCTGCAACATGCTTTGTTATTTGGCCTTTCAGATGGCAAATTATGATTTCATCTCTTCTAGTTTATCCAAAACATTAAATTGCATCAATATAATTAATTGTACCAACATCTTTTTTCACTTTTGATTTCATCTAAGTATCAACCTCACAAATCTTTTTCATAATTTTATTTCTCTTTCATCATCCTGTAGGTGTTCAGGAGGTACAAGCAGTATTACCAACAGATGCAAGCAATTGTTGCATCATTTGAATCTGTTCCAGGCCTTGGCAATGCAGCTCCATATACTTCATTTGCTCTCAAAACCATGTCAAAGCATTTCAAATGCTTGAAAATTGCCATTACCGACCAAATCCGTTTCATGAGCAAAGCTCTTGGAGAGCAGTCCTATGAAAAAGATGGAAATCCAGCGTTTGGGGCCATGGAACGAGGCTTTCATTGCCAAAGGCCAGTCCTCAACTCTGGTGTTGTTGAACACCAACATATTTGGCGCCCCCAAAGAGGCCTTCCTGAGCGTGCAGTAGCTGTGCTGAGGGCATGGTTATTTGAACATTTCCTACACCCGTAAGTGACTTGTCAACCCTTTCTATTGTGGAACATGTATCTTTCAATTTATTATGCCTTATGTTAGCAGATTGTACTTTCAAAGAAAGAGGGATCTAGAATTTGGTTATTTTCCTTTCTGAGATGCAGTTATGTTGGTCTGATCCTGTAACATAACTGAAAATCAAATTTTTACATTTCAGATATCCAACTGATACGGACAAACAAATGTTGGCTAGGCAGACAGGTCTAACAAGGAGTCAGGTGCGCCATCCCTTTATAATCTGTCAATTCCTTGTATTACTGAGCTAATTGCAACTAAATATTTGCATTTCACTTCCCTCTCTTTTACTATCCATCTATTTGTATGTATGCATACAAATATAATTTGCATAGATCCAGACACTTGTGCCCAGAAGGTAGTCCAACATTTCAATTAGATGACTCCCACTTGTTTCTGAATCATGTGGCAATCCAGTCTGATAGACAACTTGGTTTGGACATATGTGTTCACTCATTTTATGGATTCCCTTTACTCCATCTTGTATTCAAGCTTTCTTAAGTGACGTTATCCATTAAATTTTGTTTAATTCAAAAAAAATGATCCAGAAATTCGTTCCATCAGGAAGGGAGAAGAGGGGAGAGCAGAGGCCTTGTGGGGTTGCAACCATATAAATTGAGGGTTTTGGGGTTATATGAACTGATATTGGAGTCAAATATGCTAACCTACGCTTTCCATTAACCATACTGTAGATGAACCTTTGGATACTTTTTTTCCATTAATAATTTGCTCCGTGAATGCAAAATAGACTCACTGTGCTTGGCATCATCGATTAAGTTGGCTTCCTCCATGAAGTTTTTATCGACTATATGGGCCTGTGGTTCTCTCTTATCTTCTTGTGGAGCTTGTATAATATGTTTGTATTGTTCTCAAGAACAGTATTGCATGCAGTGTATTAAGAATGATTGTTTTTAGCAGGTTTCCAACTGGTTCATCAATGCACGAGTTAGACTCTGGAAGCCAATGGTGGAAGAGATACACATGCTTGAAACACGACAAGCTCAAAAGGTATCAGAAGCAGAGGGACGGAATGTTGACAAGCCAGTAGATCATCCATCTGGGAATACGATATCCTCTGCTAAACAACCCCAAAACAGCTCCGGTCAGAAGATTCAAGACCCCCCTTCCAAGCGCACCAGAAATGATTTTCCCCCAGCAGTCAACGGAACTGATGAAGCAGTAAACTTCTCATACCACAATCCATCGAATAATCATCACCAGGTCGGTATCGGTGTCAACACCATGGGTGTAAACAGCGGAGTTTCTCTAACACTGGGCCTCCGACAGAATAATGGAATAGGCTTTTCAGAACCTTTTTCAATGAACATAGCACACCGCTTCGGCCTTGAAACAAGCAACCAAGGATTTGTGATGGGTGGTTTTGAAGCACAAAATCGCCATTTTGGAAAGGACATAGGAGGCCAATTGCTGCGTGACTTTGTTGGATGAGGAACTCTGTTATTTTTTGAGGCCTCGCGCTGTTGAAATATAGGCTAAAATGGAGACCTACTAACAGACTCTCACTGAAGTATGGTTTTTAAATCGGCCTAGGTCCCAAAACAGACGACGGGATCACGGGGCAGATTGCCTTCTCGTGGTGCAACAAGGTACGAATTTATTGCATATCAGGCATTCTTAGTAGATAGTGCTCAATCAAGTCATCTCTCTCTCTCTGAGGACCTACTTGCTTGATGATTCTTCCATTACTAATCAGTAATCAGCAGTCCTGTGGGCCCTCCTCATTGTCCATTTTGGTCTTCGCCAGCTCTTGCATGGTGCAATGAAATATATTATTAATATCTCGTGCAATTTTGAGTGGTTGTTGTTATTTATTTACATATATAAATGATCAATCAAGGGAGAAAGAAAATTAAATAAGAATCTCTGGGCTCAAGTGGGCCAACGTCTTCTATTCTTTATATAATTATATTTTTCTTTTGTAAAAAATAACCTTCTTTTTATTAGGTAGATTACCTTTGTCTCCTGGCAACCCATAATTGTCATCACCATTAAAATATCTGTTTAGATGCTTGAGCTTGAGGGTTTGATCTTAAAACGTTGAAGTTGTTAAATGTATTCAAGTACAATTATTCAATTTCTTTTAGTATTTTATTTATACTGCTAGCTACAACAAGAGATCTTTGTACCTTGTCTGTATCTCATCATATTAAATTATTGACAGGGGTATGTTCATTTGCTTTCTTGGTCAGATAAAAAAGCCGGAAATGAACCATCTTAGGAGTTAGGAGGGGGAAAAGAGGAAAAAAGAATATTTTTAAACGCAAGGGAGAAGATGGCACGAGATTCAATTCAATTCAAGTTCAAGGCAACTTGCCAACTTGTACAATTCAATTCATGGGGTGAGGCGTGACTCGTGAGGGCAAGGGATAACATTTGTTACCTTTGTGACGTATTGTATTTGTAACACTATGTATTACTGCATGGCAATTTTATATTACTTGAGATTTGCAATTTAATAAAAAGTCTTGTTACTGAAGAAAGTTGGTATAATATTTATGTTCAAAAAATCATCAAGCCCGTGGGCAACTGCCACATCTCCTCCCTCTGTACGTATTGTAACCTTCATAGGTTGGTCACAACTTCACCAATTGAATTTCTCGTGGACGAGAAGCTGAACGTTTTTCATTGGATCAGTGGTTCATTTGACTAGATTTTCAGTGTTTTAGATGAACAATTATCCGTAGAACTTGTATCGTACCTTATAATGCTGTGTTGTGTAGGTAGAAATGGTTGGTTAATTTGTTCTGTTATTCGGCTATTCGTGTTCTCGCTTCGGTTCCCTCTTGGAATTATTAGTTCTATCCAAGAAAAGAGTGGAATGACTTGCATCGAACATAGATCGATCTGGTTGTGTGTTTGATCCTACCTCGCTCTCGCTGATGAAGCAAACGCCAACCAGACTTTTTAACTGCATATTCTGGCTTCCGGGGTTGGCCTGGACGTTGCTTGTTGACTATGGTCTATGGAGAGCCTCAGCCGGTTGGCCCGGCCCTTGAATCGATTCTCGAGTAAAATAGAAGCAGCCTGTCGGAACTCGCTGATATATCTTAAACGGATTCTGGGAGTTGGAGCCTTGGAGGACCGGTTCGATGCACTGCAATCAAAGTCAAAATTAACATGCTATTATTGCTTACTGTGTGAATCCTGGGAGATGGATTTTCTGGGTCGACTGTCGACAGTCCAGCTTTCGTCGAGTATGAAGTTGCCAATTGAGGCCATGCATCTATCAGATGGCGGGTAGCTAGATTGTGTGTGGAATGTGTAGATCATCCTCGTGGTGGTGGCGTCAGGCTTTTTTATCGCATGGCTCTCTAAAGTTCTGAGGTGAACGGAAAAAAGAGGATGTCGCCACACACGAGGAGGGTTGTCTTTTCTTGTCTAAGGTGTCTCCACAGTCCACCAAAATACTTGGCTCCGCCCGTGGGTGGGGGATATGATGAAGATGCCAAGTTGTGCCTTTTATTAGAAGGGTTTTATTTACTTTTACGGGTTTAACGAAGAACGTGTTATAGCAGTTAGCACTAGCAATGTGACGTTTAGTTTGGAGTTTGGACTCCACATTTCATAAAAGAGAAGAAAACTTTGCCCTCTCTACTTCCTTTGATGGCCAAGGCTGCCTTTCTTGTAGCCCATATATGCCTTTTTTTTGACACCTAAGGCAAGTTCATTCATAAATTCTCAGCTGATTACAAAGTAGTAAATTAACACAACAAAAAATAGAAAAACAACTTGAGAAACCTCTGCAAATGATGCAAATTCAAGAAACGCCGATCAAATGCCTCCAACAGAGTGTATCTCCTTACCATTTGGGTCCAAATCAACTACGCATAATCCACAAAGGGGAATAGAGAAAATAGGTACCATGGCTAAACTTACATAAAATATAGTAAACATGAATGTAGGAGAGGCCCAAGATTGCCTCTTGCGAACGTGGTTGTATGCCCAACCCGCCCGAATTCCACATAACTCTCCAAACATTCAAGGAATGGACCCCCGGCAGGAAGCCAAAAAAATCCACAAAACGCGTTGTAATTGCATGGGCGTAAAAAAAAAAAACACTCGTCCATGTTGTTGTAGAAATCGAAACGATTGGAGCATGAACTTCACCGAAGATCGCTGGAAAAAGGATTGCCGGGAACAGTAACATCGTTGCAAATGAAATGCCCAAAATACATGAATCGGACGCACAGAAAGCCAGGCACCAGAGCAAAGGCAATATTTCCAGAAAGTGAAGAAGCAATGAATGAACCCAAAGCAGGTTGAAAGTGGCACCAGGTTCAGCAACGAGAATCATACAGAAACCCCTTTGTAGCAAAATCAATCGAAAGTACAAATCCACTCCAAAGGAAAACGTATTTAGGCTACTCCCAATCCGACATCTTGCACGTTCAAAGGGAAAACTGGAAAACAAATGGAATCCCACGGCAGACCTCAAATGCACACCACACACAAATTCAACCAAAGCCCAACAGAAATGAGCATGGTTTTCAAAATCGGATTGGACCGGATCGTCGAACTGGAAAAACCAGATTTTGGTTAGCAAACCGCTGACCTGGGCGGTTAACATTCGAACTGTTTTGACTGTTTTTATTTTTTTTATTTTTTAAAATTTTTTTTGTTAGAACAGCTGACCGGTTCGTTCTCCGGATCGATTTTAAAAACCTTGGAAATGAGAAAAAGATCAGAGAGTAAACAAAGATTAGAATGACTAAAACCATAGATCCGAAGTCTTCTCCATGGACCTGGATCAATCATTATCACCCAAATCTGTCATAAGAACTTCTCCAACAAACATAGATAATAAGAGAAATAGATGAAAACTCACATCCATACATGTGAGAGAGAAACCCTTTATGTATATTGAGTCACTGGAATGGACTTTAGGCTGCACTTGGCATTTGGCATTTGGCATTTGGCATTCTTTATTTCAAGGATTTTATCTCTTTTTTTTTTCAGTTAAAATACCCTTATGAATATTGAGTGTAAAAAGGAAATAAATCCTTAAAATGAGGAATGTGTCCTTTCTGGCCCTACCATGCACAATGGATGTATCTTGTGAGTTGTGGACTGTGGCTACTGAGGAATTCTTTACCTGATTTTAAAAAGGTTGAAGGCGAAAGGAAAGGAAAGGTGGTTAGGCTTGAAGAGGCGTGGTGTAGGCCTCAAGATGTTTTATGAAAAATCATTACTTCATAAACTTATTAATTATTATAAATCTTTCTCTAAATCATATTTATTTGTTTTAACAAATCTCATAAAAATGAAAATGTTAGTAATTTTAAACATATGCCCATTTATGTACTATTACAAAAGATAAGCTGTCTTTAATTTCCAACACAGCCTACAGATTTGCCTAAGATAAAGCAGATAAAATATCAATTCTTTCTAATTTAGAGGCTGTGTATTTAGAGTGGTAAGATGTAATTTGCTTTTATTAATTTTTGGATTCTGGAATCTGTACTGTGGAGGAAAGGTATATATGAACCCTTCTCCTTAATTATAATGGACCAAGCTCCAAATCCAAACACATGTGTTGCAATCGTGTGTCCACCGAAACTGTGGTAGAGTTGTGGATGCCAGCACAAACCCAAAGTGACAGATTTTGTTAGAAAACTGGACATTCCCACTTCTCTACCTAACAAAGCTTGGACTCTATATTGGAAAATTGGGAGTGGGATGATAAGGCTACGATCGCAAAAGTTGTGTCGTCCAATTCAAATATTGATGGATCAAAATTTTGGATTAGCTATATTCAACTCGATACCATCCATTTGCAGCCTTACACGATTAACTCATTGTACGAGCCTGTCTGTCTCTGGACATTAAATTGAAACGGTCTCGAAAGGGCCCATCAAGCACCATCCTGGACTACATCGAGGTCTTAGGACTGAAACTAAGTGGCCAGGTAGCTAAAGCCTTGGGCTACTGGGCTTTCATCTCATGTGGGCCCAGTGAGTGAAATCCTGCCTATTGAGACTCCGGATCTGTTCCTCGCAACTCGCAACTCGCAAGAGAGTTCTGTGTATAAACGGGCTACGTGTGCAATGACGAGTGAACTGTGTTCTCAATTTAACTATGTATTTGTCACTTCTACAACCTCACTTGTCCAAGAGACTGGTCTTTACCTATACAAGTATACATCAACTCGGGGCATGTTTGAGAAGCCACTAAAAGAGTTTTACGGAAAATCTTTTCTTTTCTTTCCATTTTTTTTTTTTCTTTTTGTTGAAAGGTTGTTAATCTGGCGGTGTTTTTGTAATGTGGTTGTGGATCATTTCGCTTGATTCCAGAACGCACTACAGAGAATGACATTTTTTTCTTAGAGGTGCTCACCATTCGGTTAATCTAACTGTGGGCCTATTTTTTAAATCAAATCAATATTATCGGTTTTTGGAAAACATGTAATTGAAATCAAATTGAAGTCGATCGATAAGCAGTTGATCAGTTTGGTTTTTCGATTTTTTAGTATTTTTATATTTATGGTATATATTATAAATAAATATATAAATATATAATAAAGAACTAAATATATATAATATTATATTTTAAATAATAAATGATATATTATATATTATTTATATATAATGCACTTTATTAATTTATAATATATAATATACATAAATATATATATATAATATACAGAAATATGTGTATACCGGTTGGTTCGGTTAACCGCCAATTTTCTATATTGGTTAACTGAAATTGAATTGACTAGTCCAATTAACCAAACTTTTCAATTCGATCTCATCGGTTTGGTTTGATTTTTTGGCTTTTCTTGCCCACCCCTACTTTTACACTACAGTGCTTCTAGGTTGAGCTACAGTGCATTCTAAATTGAATATATCACAATATTTTCACCACACCAAAATCTTGTATTCTAATAACCCAATACACCTTGGAACACTCATCAAACAATGATTTAGAATACTTTGATAATAATTTAATAATTTACGTATTCTAAATCTCAAAGCTTTGGAACACACCACATAACCACAATATTGTGTTCCAAAACACAATATTTCAAATTGACCATGATGGGGCCCAATGGTTTGGATTTTGGAACATACTACTCTTTTTTGGGCCCCAGTACTAAACACCCCCTAGGCTTTCTAGGGTTTTTACCAAACATTGCTTATGGGCAATCTGGATAAAATTCACTTTACAAAGCCAACAGCCACTACACGAAAATAAGGCTACAACTTGGGCTAACTAGCCCAAAACCAACTTAACTTCAGGTTGGATTAGGATTGAGGCCTTGGCCAATCTGAACCTGACATAATTTCATATTTGTGTGTATAAATATTATATAAAATCATTTTTATTTATGCATCTATACATGTGGCATGTATGCATATGTGCAAATGTAACTACGCATCCATAAATGCATGCACATATTTATCTATCTATCCATCTATGTATATATATATGGAGTAAATC